AGGAAGCTCTGTTTCGATGAAGAAAAACAGAGGTAAACAGAGTATGAGATTATCGATCAATTGATCGATAATCATGAAGGCAAGTGGGAGATAATTTATCGAACAACTGATCGATAAATTCACTTTGTAAAGAAAGGGAATTGCTCCAACACTACAATTATCGATAACGTGATCGATAAAATAAATATCGATCAGAACATCGATCAAGAGCCTCAAGGTTCCGAGACTCATCCGTCAAATTTGGTAAGCATTGATCGATAAGCTGACCGATAAGCTTAATTATCGAACAAATATTCGAAAAATTACATCAGGTACGCATTTCTTTTTACTTATTTTATCGATAATATGTTCGATAAATGCATGATCGATAACGTAATCGATAAAACTGATCTTTGTTCAAGTGTTCTTCATAATTATCGAACACGTGATCGATCAAGTGTTGATCGATAACTTAATCGATAATTTCAAGAACTATAACGGTACTGTTCTGAAATCCATCCGTCAGTTTTTCGAACCCTAACTCGAACATTTCCCGTCCCCTGCTCTTCGCAACGGTCGATTTTCACCACTATCTTAAATTCTTCCACCGTTACACCGATCGAATCCTTCTCTGCTGCATTCCCAACCTTCACCCACCTCAAACTCACCGATTAATCTGTCAAAAACTCGCTCAGCACCTCCGAAATGGCTCGGGTGAAGCAACCGAACGTGGAAAAGGGAGAAGCACCGGAGAAACAGCCTCAATCGAGCGACACCACTGCCTCGGGAACTCGAAAGCGCTACAGACCGAAGGTGAGGGAGGAATCAACGAAGAAGAGAGCTACTCTGAAAATCCGGGAAAGTCGGACCGAAGAACAACCGGCCTCTCTCAGAAAGTCTCCCCGGTCCAAATCAAAGCTACCGATTGTGACTGAGGAATCGGAGACCGAGTCAGATGATGGGGTCTCAGTTCAGAAAGCCGTGGAATCAGCCTTGAATATCTCTGTCCCCAAGCAACCGAGAAAGAAGAAACAGAGGGCAAGTGAAGGAGTCGCTCGGGAAATCCCTTCTGTAGGTATACCCACTGAATTTTCTGAGTTATTATCTGGCAATCTCGATAATGAAGTTAATATAGCAAAGTATAAGGCCGATTTTGCCAATAGAAAATTCTGTCCTGTGGTATCTGTTGATTTAGAGGGTCTGAGGAAAAGTAAACAGATTGAGCTTGATTTAAGTGACCCACTGCAGCATTATTCGAATTGGTTAATTATTGGTGGTGAATACTGTCCCGAAGTGGTTAAAAGATTCTACTGTAATATGGAATCAGTAGAAAAATATGATGATAAAGACAATCTCATAGAAAATTGTCTGAAAGTTACACTGAGAGGCAGAGCTTTTAAAATAACCAGTGCCAAAATAAATGAACTGCTAGGGACTCAAGATTTTGTGCGAGGTGGTGACATGAATGAAGTAAAGGCCTATAGAATCTTAATGCAGAACAGTGATTATCCCGGTGAGCTGAATTTCCCACCTAAGCAGATGTGTGACTTCTATAGGATCATCCATTACATCTATTCTAGGTGTATGGTAAACAAATCCGGTAGCTTCTCACATCTCACTCAGGATGATTATCTTCTACTAGCCCGGATTATTAGTGGGGAAAAGATTAACATTGGGGATCTTATTTACTCTGAGATGAAGGACTTTGTTCTTAACAAGTCCAGATCAACCCCAATTCCCTATCCTCAGCTGGCCACTATTTCCTTCAGGCACATAACATTGCTCCTTTTGAGCCTGGGGAAATCAAGACTAAGGTTCCTAGTTTTGGCCTCACTCAACTCCACAAAATGAGGATTTCTGTTCCCTTTACACCATCACAGAAAGTATCTCAAAAGGATAAGGGAAAGCAACCTGCTGCTAGTACATCTCGGACCCAGGATGAAGCTGAATCCACTGCTGCCCCATCTCATACCCCTGGTCCATCTTTTATGGAGAGATCCCTCAGGGAAATGTTTCAGGCTGAGCTTCGGGCATTTGAGACCAGAGTCTACTCCACTGCCAGAGATTATGGGGAAGTTTCTGACCGGAAGTTTGATGGCATCTCTAAGATTCTGGATCTTCACCAACAAGCTATGGTGGTTTTGGAAAGAGAAGTCACCGAGAGGTTTAATTCAGTGGACAAGGAACTCCAAGAGCTTAAAGGCTTAGTTACCTCTCTCTGCCAGCACTTCACTCCACCTAGCACAAGCTTCAGCTATGAGGATCTCCTCTTCCATCCTCCCTCTCCACCACACCCTGAGCCTGCACCTCCTTCCTCTCCTTTACCCACTTCTCCTATTTCCACCACTTCTCCTTCTGTTCCATCTACTTCTACTTCTGTCCCTACGACTCTTGCTCTTATCACTGTACCCCAACCTGTTCACTCCCTCCATTTTCCATCTATTTCTCCACTTTTTCCTCTTCCTCCTCTCCCTATTTCCCTAACCTTTCCCTCGGTTCCTACCCCTTCTGATGCTGACAAAAAGGGGGAGAAGAAAACTGATGATACTTCGTAGATTATATGGCTTTATGAGTTGCTTTTTGTTATCTGACTTTATATGGCTTTGGTTCTATGTCATGACTTTATATTTTTTTTTTTTTGTTATCTCCTTTATGTATCTGGATAGTGTTTTTATCGATAATGTGTTCTTAATATTTATCTGTCCCTTTTTCATGCTTTTTGAGAATATGAAACTGGTTGATGTTCTCTCTGATAAATAATTCATAACCTGTGTTTTGTCATCATCAAAAAGGGGGAGAATGTTAGGATTATAGTTTTGATGATAACAAGTCAGAATTTCAGGGTTAAGTATTTTGATCGATCACGTGATCGAGCAATCAGTTATCGCTAAGGTTTCAGATAAATGATCAAGTATAAATCGGGTCTATAGTAGTCTTTTTGATCCAAGAACTATTCGATGAATAATTTATCGATAAAATGATCGATAATCGCTAGCGTAAATATCACATAAGACTTTGGGAAATTATCGATAAGCTGATCGATAATATCAGGTAAACAATCGAGTTACTGATAAGAGACCCAAATCTGAAGTGTATTTATCGATCAAGTTATCGATAAATCAGTCATCAATAACGACTTCGATAAAAGGTAACACTCTCTACATGTTCTGCACATTAGTTCTGTTACAAGTTTATCGATCATATTTTCGATCATTTGTTTATCGATTACGTGCTCGAACTTTATGCTCTAACTCTCTGAATGCAGGTGATCAAATTCACTGATAGATCGATAACTTTATTGATCACAAAATTATCGATCACATGATCGATAATCAATGTCCTTATCTACTCTTACTCAGTTCTGCTACAGCTAAATTATCGATAACATTATCGATAACTTTAACTTATTTGCTTAACAAAAGTTTTCACATAACGTGATCGATAAAGAGTCTAAGAATTGACATATTCGCATTAAGTTATGGTGAACGAATGTTCGATCAAGTTATCGATCACTGGTTTTTCGATAATATGATCGATCATCCAATTCCATGAAAATCATGTTTTTCACAAAAGGTGATCGATAACCAGTTTCCTTGCCTTACAGGATTAATCTTCTCTTCATAATTTATTCGATCATTTGTTCGAATATTCATTGTTCGATTAAATGTTCGATCTTTTCAGATAGCCTGTGTTCTTCATTGAATATATATACCCATGGCTTATCGATAACATTATGCATTATATATTTATCGATAAGATGTTCGATCATCAATGACTGAAGCTTCATTTCAATAACATTTAAATTATCGATAATCTGTTCGATCAATTATGTGATCGATCACTTTTTCGATCATGCAATGATTTCCTATTTCTATGATAATTCTTAAAGTCAATGATCCAACACTTGATCGATAATTTTAGTGATCTACTTCGAAAAGTCTTCATTCTGGTTATCGATAACTTGATCTATCATCAAGTAATCGATCACTTTTTCGATCAAACTAAACCAGAATGACATTTTGTTCTTCTTACTGATAAATGATTTCGGCACAAATCCTTGAATGATAGATTAGCTTTCTGTCTGTATTCAAGATTTAAGCACTCACCACAAAACTCTCATATGTTCTAAGTTTGAAATATGCAGATTAATGAAAAAACGAGTGCAACGGCTCTTCAACGGGATTACGTAGACTACGACCTACAGTGTCAGAAACTCAGACGCATTAATGGCGGAGCCGTTAAAACCAGTGAAACACGCAAACGAAGTCACAACGGCTAGAAGCCTTCCGTCTAACGGCTATTTAACGAGATCAACTATAAAAGGCGCGAAGAGGCATTAATGAAGAGATTGAATACCCGAACTACCACCTGCGATTATTTAGTTACGCATTCAATACTCTGTTTTTACGATACTATTGAGCATCAGTGATTATCATTGAATTCACTCTGTAAGAGAGCCATTCACTACTTTCTTTAAAAACTTGAGAGACACTCAAGAGTGTGGACTCTTGAGAGGGGTTGTATCCTTACGGGAGTAAGGGGGAGTGATTGAGCGATTCAATTACTGTACCGAGGCACCAAGAGCCCTGTCGATCTTGGAAGATAGTGAAATACTCAGAGGTGTTCTGGGGACTGGAAGTAGGTCACGTGGATTAGACCGAACCAGTATAAATCTTGTGTCTCCTCTCTGCGGTTAAAATTCTCCTTACTCTGACTCTCTGTTTTTATTTAATACTTGCACGCATTTAGTTTTAAGTTTTTGTAACTCACCCAATTCACCCCCCTCTTGGGTGAGATTGTTTCTAACAGTTGTTATCATCTGTTTTGGTGTGGTTAAACTCAAATTCATTCATGTCACTAGGGAATAAATTGGCATCATGGATCTCAACAATCATAAATTTATGGACACCAATCTTTATTAACCATAACAATACACAGTAAATTTTTGGTCAGCCTACAATGCACATTACATACAGCAATCTAACAGAGGAAAGTGAATTATGAGCCTAACATTGAGACACCTAAGACCGACACCTTTTCTTGGATTTTGTGCTCTTGGTTCGTTGTGGTTGTCGAATAAGGGCCAATGCCTCGTCACATTTTTCATTCTGTTCATGATTCACCAACCACCATGTCAGGTCATGATGAAAGCCAGCAACTTCTTCCTCTGTGTAGGTAAGGGTCACACCAAGTTCCCATCTTCTCAACCACATCATGCAGTGCACCCCGCAATCCCTCTTATGGACACAACAATATCAACACAGTTAGTTAACACATCTGACATGTGCATTTACCATACAGAATTCAAATTTGACAAACTGACAGGTTATTCTACCGGGGAACTTCTGCAAATGTCATGGGAGACATTGACTTTTTCCCAACCAATCCTAGCTTGACCAAGTCCAGTATAATATTAAACCTCATCCTCTGCAAAAAAATTCAGGACCAACATAGAAAGTTTAATGATTTTACAAGTTCAAAAAATAGGGTAAAGATAATGAGTTTTTTCTTACACAGTCATCCACAGCCATTTCCACTGGGTCTTTGATGACAACCTTCTTCTTCTTCTTCTTTCTGTCCTTGCTTCCGAAATGGTCCCTCATGGACTCTAATATGTGGAAATCCAATGTGTTGGGTTGAATGGCAACGTAAAACTAGTGTTGGCCAACAAGAATCAGACCAATTATGAAATCACATTCAGCTAAGTTGTAGCCAAGAAACTAAGGAAGAAAGAGCTTCTTATATTTTTGGACTTTCCAGGTTCGATCATGTGCTATCATGTTCTGCATGACATGAAATTGTTAAGCCATTAACAGACAGCAAGTCATTTCCAATTCAATTACTGTCATTGGTATTTGCATTCGGAATTATGTAATCTCACCATGAAATCCACATCGAAAATATGCCTCTTCCCTGGCCCCAACTCTGCCTTCATGTCCTCCATCACTGCCTTGCACACCAAATTAAGCACCTATAGAAGACAAGTGAAAATGTCATTCTAATACAATAATCTCAACCAAACATTATCAAACATAATCATGGGTGCAGGGACAGAGCATTCTAAAATACCCTGTTATTTACTCTGTTCACTCTACCAAGGGAAAACAGTTGTTGTCGATCTATATCTTCATCAAACATTTTGATGACAGTCCTACAAATATTGTCAGATGTCAGTGACAGAAAGTACGGTGTTGGGGACATCATCACTTGTCATCCCCATGTATTTTATTATCATTTTCAATTCTATTGCTGTCATTGTCAGGGCACACGGTGTCATTTAAAAACAAAAGGCTAGCCAGGGATATACTTACATCTTTCCCTCTTCCTCTCCCTTGGGTCTACGGGATATTAAAGTGAAAAAAATGTCCCTTTCCTCCTTTGGCCTCTTCGTCTTTGGAGCTACCTTGAATTCCATCCACGGAGATTTAATTGTGGAACTCTTTGCCCTTGTTGACCTCCTAAGGTCAATCGATTTTTCAGGCCCTCCTTCCTCCCCACTGTCACTACTCACCCATTCGCAATCCAACAGCAAAGGAACATTGGTAGGGTTCATTGTCAGTACATGTGTATCTTCCTCACCCTCATCATCTAAATCACGAACCTCCTTATCATTATCTTCCGCCTCTTCAACCACATAATCATGACTGACTTCCATGTCATCATGGTCATCTTCCTCCTCATCAACCACATGACCTCCTTCCTTGTCATCATGGTCATCCTCCTCCTCATCCTCATTGTCGTCATCATCACCTCCATGACCATCACGGTGACCCTCATCTTCTACCTCCTCAACCATGTAATCATCACTGACTTTCCTGTCATGAAGGTCATGTTCGTCTTCATCCTCATCCTCATCCTTCTCATCATCTACTTTGCTGGTTTCATCCTCATCAAGTTCCTCATCTCTGCTTCCCGCTGCAACCTCTCTTGCAATCTCCTCCACCATTCAGTCAACATCATCAGCTTCTTTAGTATTGTTACCACCTGCATCACCAACTGTTTCATCCCCTTCTTTAGGAGTGGCATTCTCATTCCCCATCCCCTTAATTTTGGCGTTCAATCCAATCTACAGTTTGAGTAGCTCATCATCAAGAGCCTTCATTAACGCCCTCTGGCTTTCTTCAAGCTTCTTAACAAAACGAGCCCTCAACTCCTTCAATGCTTGCATACACAGTAAATGAAGATATCAAAAAAATTGATCACTGTTATCGAATGCCAGTATCTCACTGGTCATTTGTAAATAAAGTCTTGTCATCTCAAGTATCAACCTTGCTAATAGACTGACTTAAACCTAGGTCACGTATATTTTCTAAGTTCCCACATACCGGATCTAAAGACTGCAGAATTGGACTGTCCTCACGTCCTGCTAAGTAAACCTCGCTACCACTGCTTCCATGCAATATTCCCATGCTGCTACCTCTCTCTTTCTCCACCCTTTCCTTTATCTTCTCCTTGGTCCAATATTCAATGGGGCTTGTTGAACCCCGGTCAACAGACAATCCTAGTGGGAAATGCTCAGCAAAATACAGCTGCAAAACCAAATAAAGATAGGTCACACTTCTGCAACAATAACATAAAACAAAAGTATAGTGAACCATAAGAAAAATATTAACTTACCAGAGCAAATAAAGACACCCTCCAATATTGCAGGTTCCTTTCTTCTTCTTTTTTGTCATCTTCACAAAGTCTCCCATTTCCTTCCACAGGTTCTTGATTATGTATGTTGACCAATCATATTTCCCAAACCCATCCATTGTGTGACGCATTACTTTCAACAAACGTATATGTATAGTTGTGCTTGACCCAGGACATAAAAAAGCTCCAATTGTATAAAGCATAAATAGGAACTCAAAATTGTCGTTTTCTTTCCTAGATAATATCATCTTCAGTATTTGGGTAAATAGAACCTTCCAATAAGTGTCCTTCAACCTCTTGTATTCCAGGTCATCCTCACTAACGTCAGATTTCACTTCCTCCCCACTGTCAGGTACACCTAGAAACTCATGAGCATCTTTTACCTCAATTGCCTGCCCTTGCCCCCTAATGGTAAAAAAATGCGTTGGTAGGTCATAGCATCTCAACAATGACACAAGTAGATCACGTGGAAGTTGCTTCACATTCACATTAAGCAAGTTCCCAAATCCCATCCTCTTAACTTTCTGCCTTAACCGCTTGTTCTTCTTCACATACTCAGCCAATAATAGAAATCCGGGCAATGAGCACCAGGTGTACAAGGAAACATCATACTTCTTCTTCTCACCTTTCTGTGGCTTCATTTTCTTTGCCCTCTTATTATACCTATCTGTCTCTTCGTCACTTAGGGCCCTCCATGCCTTCCCCACTTTAATTTTTTCTTCTCTTATGTTTTTACACTTCTCCCATCGTTTTGCCATATACTCCCTTCTGAACAACATAAGCTCATTGTGGACTCCTTTGCTTGTGGACCCTTCCCCTTCTTCCAACACCATCTCGTATAGTTCTGTAAAGTCATCAAGGTACCATCATTAAATTATAATTTTTATACATATACTAAATATCTAGTTCTTTCTAGATTTGTTATGGTCATTTCCAGTTCCTTCATTGTCATTTACAACATTGCCATTACAGACCGACATTAAGGATGCCACTATGAATATGGTCGTTTCCAGTTAATTTATTGTCATTACCAATATGCCTATTACAGACTAACAATAAGGTCATTACTATGAATATGGTCATTTTCAATTAATTCATTGTCATTACCAATATGGCCATTACAGTCTAACAATAAGGTCATTACTATGAATATGGTCATTTCAAGTTCCTTCATAGTCATTTACTAGTATGGTATTGTTATTTCCAGTCTATTCATATAATCTTTCTAGTCAATTAGACAGTAAAGTCATTACTATGAAGATGGTCATTTTAGGTTCCTTCATAGTCATTTACCAGTATGTTATTGTCATTTCCAGTTTGTTCATATAATCTTTCTAGTCAATCAGACAATTTTCCTATTGATTTGAAAACCCATTTTTCCCTAACGGTATAGTTCTCAACTTCATTATAAAAAACAAAATAGCTTGCCACAGAGACTCAGCATAAACCCTTAATCGCCATTCCTGTCATTCACAAACTTCATCGCGTCATATCTAAATATTGCCTAATCATTGCTTCCCAGACTCACCCAGAAACGTCAACCACAACACAAAACTTAAATGCCTAAACTTACCTCAGTGAAATGCTGTTGATGCTTGTTAACTGCAATGGTGAATCACCGTGTGCCAACCTTCATCTTTCCACACAATCAGTCAGACGCGACCACGTTCACCCTTCGAACAGCACACCCTTCCACTTCCAACTCCTCTGCTCTCTTACGCACACACTATTTCAGGGTCGTCAATTGTCCAACTTGCCGGCATTTTTAGGGCAACAATGGGGATGGTGGAAGCGAGAAACCGAGAAGCACAACTGGGCAGTGCACGAGTGTTCGCACCTCTCTCTCTCTCCGCTTTCAAATGCTGACTGACAGAAGGGTTGTTTGGTAATTGCCCAACATTTGCTTAATCCCAAATCAAGCAACACTTCCTTATCTGGTAATACATTTGCTTAGCTTCCCATTTTAGTATTTTATAATTTCAGGTTTCATTATGTGTCATTTTCCCTAAACTTTTTCCCCTTTTATTTTATTACATCCTTTTGCTTTCCATACATCAGTCGTTGCAGTTAAATATTGAGTAACACTGTTTTCATTAGCCTGTTAAGCGCTAAATCTGACCGAACACTCTTTCTCTCCCCTTCTTTCAATGCCTAACATCATATCCTTGCACACTATACTCTCGACTTGCAAATGATAATGCATAGTTGCTTCGAGGAGCTGCTTCATGGTGGAAGCGACTCCAATCTCTAGCAAGGGACGATTGATGATGTGGTCAAGGAGATCTAGGAGCTCGCAGAGCTAGAGAACACCGGAGGAAATCACCGTTGTCGAAGACGTAAAAAATCTGAAGAATATATGAGGATATGGGGAAGAGAGCCATGTACTTGAGTTCATTTTAGAGGCAGTTGTGATGGAGGGAATCGATGAGAAGGCGCTCCTCGATGAATTTGCAAGCAAATAGAGATGGGGTGAAAGGAGTAGAAGACGGTGCCGAACCCACCATGACCAGTCTCTACGCATAACTGTAACCGTCCTTTTAGTACTTGGAGTGATTAGCACTTTTGTTAAGTAAAAGACACTTTTGTTAAGTAAAAGGCTATGTCTGGCTCTGTCTCAAACACAAAAAATAGAGGCCCTTAAAACTTCAATGGAACACTAACAGTTCTCACTTGAAGAGTGATGAGTGAGTAACTAGCAAGTGAATAGATCTAGTTAGCAAGCCACAAATTTGATAGGGTACAGCTCTTTTGACCTCACTAATATTACACACACATGAACAGAGAGAGAGTGAGTAATCATTGTTGTAAACAGATTTGGTTTAGTTTGTTAGCTGTAGCTAACAAGTAGGGAGGTTTGTGTGAATATTTTTTGTGGAGAGTGTCACATCTAGCATTATGATAATTAGAGATAAGAAATATTCTCAAATTATTGAGGATTAAAAATAATAAGAAAAAGTCAAAGAATTTTGGTGGAAAATAATTACAGTAATTTTCCAAGCCAATTATAGGAAATTGACTAATTAAAGAAAATTGGTCAAATGTAAATAAGGAAAAATATTTTCGAGCCATGGAAAATTAAGGAAAAATAGGGATAATATCCTTTGAGAGTTATATGAAATTATAAAGTTGGTTTTATGACCAAATTACCCTTAGAGAAATTATAAGAGAATTTGAGAGTGATTTAAGCTAATTGAGGGATTTTATTTGGAAAATTCCAAATAAATATTTTCAGAGGAATAAAATTCCAAGAAAATTCCTATGAGATCCCAAGGAATTATAAGGAATTATGGAATTAAATGGAAACCTCAAGTGTCCAAGATTTTTCCAAATAAATGTGAAAAGTGAAAAAATCCCTAAAGAGAAGAAAATTAATTTTCCTTTTATTTAAATATTAGAAAATTAATTTTGAGACAAAGAGGGAAATTTGGGAAGATAATAATGAGGAGAATAAATTAAGGATTTGACAGAAAATAATTACAGAGACTAAGTTACTGTAATTATAGAAAAGAAGTTAAACTCAGAGCCTAAAGTATACCGATAAAGCAAGATTGGTGTCTTGCAAATCCAAGGGATCCTATTGAGCCATGTGTCAAGCTCTTGAAGGAGAAGATTTGAATTAGCCAAGTGTCATTCCATAAATGGAGAGGATTTTGACTTTAGTAATTAATTTCATTTGGAATTATGTTAATTAGAAAAGAGGAATCAAGACTTAGTAGGGTAATGACACTTGGACTATCATTAAAGAGGGTGGTTGAGATATTTTGAGCCAACTAATCAGCTCTTCCCTCCCCATTTTCAGGCCCATATTTCGTGCAAGGGAGGAAGTGGAAGAAAAAGAGAGAGTTTGAGAGAAAACAAGAAGAAAGGGAGCACCTTTGGTCATTCAAGCAAATTGTAAGGTTAGATCTTGGTACTAGAGGTGTTCTTACTTTGTTTTCTTTCATTTTTATGGTTTAAAATCCGTCTCTTCCCTCTCTTAATGCGGACCAAACTGATTAATAAAAAGGGGAAAGAAGTTTTGATCATAACACTTGCTAAGGCACAACAACACAAGCTAGATCCTAGTGTTGACAAGTGAGTTTAAGTGATTTTAAAGCATTTTTCATGGTTGTTGTGTGTGAGACTTATTTTTGGCCAAGTGAAGAATGGATCCTAGGATGAGCTTTTCATTGTTTTAAGGCTTCCAATGATGAAAAGTGTTAGACTAGAAGAAACAAGTGTTGGAAGCTTAAAAGCAAAGCTGAAAATTTAGGTCAAAATCTCTAGTGGTTTGGTCAAGGTGTGGCTGGAAGAAGAAGCAAATTTATTTCA